CTATAAATAACACGAATAAAGTGAAAGGTGAATAGGCAGGAAAAGTGTTCAAGAGCCTCGACTCTGTTGGATACTTGTTGGTAGGGGTGTAAACGAACCGAACACGAACGAACAAAGCTTGTGTTCGTGTTCGGTTCGTTTAAAATTTAGTTTGTTTGAAATAAGCTCGTGTTCGTTTCTTAACGAACGAGCCGAACACGAACCGAACACGAGCTGTTCGCGAACGACGAGCCAATTTGACATCTCTAATATTAATATATAAAAATAATATTATATATTAATTATATAACTTATATTATATAAATATACAATATCTATATTAGTATATTACTACTATAGTATATTAATATATTATTATTATTATTTTATTATATATTATAATTTATAAAATTTAATGTTTTAAAATATAATAAATTTTTTATATATAATTATTTTATATTATTTTATATTTCAAACAATAACGATTCGAACACGAACGAACGCATCACTGTTCGTGTTTGGTTCGTTTAACTAACCGAACGAAAAAAATTTGTTCGCGTTTGTCTCGTTTACTTATCGAACGAATCGAACACGAACTCATTGACGAACCGAACACAAACTGTTCGCGAACAACGAGCTTTTTTAACAGCCCTACTTGTTGGATGTTTGCCAATAATGTGGCAAATGTTCTCAACTATTGGCAATTATCAAAGAAAAGGAAGTTTACGTACACACCACTTGATTGCTTTGTATTCACAAATCTAACACCTAAATTTTAATTTTTACATTTTAGCCTATGTATGAAAAAATATAAAATTTTTATTTGCTATGGAAGATTTAAGTGGTAGAAATGTGAAAATAAAGTTTAGTTGTTAGGTGCTCATAAGAAGGGAAAAAATTTACGTATGTCAAGGGGTACGCAGAGATGCGTACATAATAGGGTACACGAGCGTTATATGGGAGTGACATTGGGGTTACAAGCGTGTTATAACTTCCTTGTAACTTTCGTGTAACTCAGTTGTAACCCGCGTTTTTTTTTTTATCCATTGAGATTACAAGGTTACAGCGGGGTTACACGAGAGGTTACACTGGAGTTACACGGGAGGTACAACGGGGTATAACCCCCTTGTAATCCCGGTATAAACCCCGTGTACCCTATTATGTACGCATCTCTGCATACCCCTTGACGTACGTGTGTAAATCCCATCAAAAAAAATTCCTAGAATAATGTGAAGAAATGCTCGTCGCTATGTCAGATTGGAAAGAAATAAATTTTTCAATGATGAATATCCATCAAAAAGTTATTATACACACAAATATTGGTATAAAATAGTTTTTATTGACAATTTTCCTCATCACAAATATGGCTCATTGCAATATATTTTTCATGTATGATGACATTAATATGAAATTGTTTCATTATAGAATGTTCGCCTTCCATAATAAATTATATGAATATATTTTGATGAACCCCATCACTAAAAATATGGATGTCAAACTTGAACATATATACTTAACACATAGCACATATTTGAGGCATGTGGTTTGATTGAATAATAAAAAGTATTTGTCACACTTTCATATATTTGCACATCATGAGTGGCCACTAATTCAAAATCAAGCAAATCTATCATTATATGAATCCTTTGATGCTCACAAGAAATAGTTATATCATTCATAATAGTCCTGCTCTCTTGTTTTTCATGAAGAGTTGATTAAACATGTGTTAATCATGTAATGTCAATAAGTAATAATGGCCCCACTCTCTTTCTATAAGTCTTTTAATATTTTGTAGTACTTTTATTAATCTTAATTGGATGCTTTGTGATTGACATTACATGATTACCTACGATAAAGACTAAATTCTTCATAGTGCACATGATTCCCCAATGGAACATATATAGATTTAAAAATGAAAACATATGAAGCTTATTTTGTTTTATATGAGTAATAATTGGACTTTTTTTTGAAAATACTAGACATATGTAAGTTAGCATGTTAGTTTATAATCTTGTTGATGAACACATCATATCATGATCTTGTGAGCCTACAAGTGCTCGAGGATTCATTCCAAATAAATAGCTTGGACAAATAAATACATATCAAATTCATATGTATCTTCTCAATCTATCAAGATCTAGTGTGTATCTAGCTCTTCTTCATTTGAGTTTTAGTGACTGCTCACCTACACATATAACTAAGTGGGTTAGTACTATTTCTGATCCAGCGTGATGTAAAACAAAAATATTGAGCTTCATAATTATTGGTGTGGTCATATATATATCCCAATCTATGGGTCTTTTCTTGAGCCTAGAAGAATTAAAATCATTAAAGTATAATGAATCTACTAGGTTTCTCCCATCATGCGGTTATGGATTATTTGTCTTGACCATTAGCCAAAGATTGTGTCCCCTGATTTGTGAGATCCCTTAAATTTTTTATTATTATCGAGGATTAGCCCAATTAGGCAAGCGTTCGACAAATATAAACTATGACTTACAAGTCAAACGTTCATAAATTATGACTTATCTGCATTTTAACTATTTAATTTATTCATTGAAAATAATTAATTATTATTGCAAATAACACAACAATAATAATTTTCAATGGAGAGTTTTTTGGGGCACCACTAAAATTGTAATTAACTTCAAGAACATAATTCTTCTATAAATATTTGATAATAGTAATTCTAAATTAGAAAATGAACATCTATAAGAATCAAAGCATTTGACTTACACATGATTGAAGTCATGAACTCATAGAGTAGATTGATTCCAAATTAGACTTCTATTGCCATTTATTGATACCATCTTAAACTTACATTTCTCTAATTTCTTATCCCTTATCCAGATGTCACTTTCAATAATAAAAGTTCACAGTGAAACTCAACATCAATGATGAAGCTTATTCTTGGCATATAATGCATGTCGGTGCTCTTCTTCACTTCAACAAAGTTGGTCATGGACTAAATTATGAGTAAAAAGTTGAAACAATGAAAATAATGATCATAAGTGAGAAAAAATAATGTAAAAAAAATGAGTTAAATTCCATCTCCCTCTTAATTTAACAAATCCACAATTTATCATGATAATATCCACATAACATGTCATATTTTAGTGCTACTTATTTGGAAACATTAAAAGTAAAGAGAAACAAAATATTTAGGTCTAGATTACTGTCTGAAAGAAAAATATATGCATTTAATTTATTAAATAGTCTGATTTATTATCTTAGAATGTGTTTGGGGCAGCTTGTGCTTATCCTGAAACTAGGCCCGCGGGGTTCGACCAACGTCATGCGTTTAGTGTAAAAATCCAACCATGTTTTCAAATAAAATATCAAAATGTGTTTTCCAAATGATGAGACGACATTTTGAAAATATCCCTCTTAATTTAACAAATCCACAATTTATCATGAAATATCCACATAACATGTCGTATTTTAGTGCCACTTATTTGGAAACATTAAGAGTAAAGAGTGAAACAAAATATTAAGGTCTAGATTATTGTCTGAAAGAAAAATATATGCATTTAATTTATTATATAACCTGATTTATTATCTTAGAATGTGTTTGGGGTAGCTTGTGCTTATCCTGAAACTAGGCCCGTGGGGTTCGACCAGCGTCATGCGTTTAGTGTAAAAACCCAACCATGTTTTCGGATAAAATGTCGAAATGTGTTTTCCAAATGGTGAGACGACATTTTGAAAATGTCGTCTGCACTTATAAGCTGCCCCAAAAGAGCCCTTAGTCTATTTTTATTCACCTACAACTAATACATGCGTCCCCCCATTGATTCTACCTTCAACCTCTTACATAACCACCGTTCCCATTGTTGGTATGCCTATGCTCTATAATTAATTGCACTTTCAGGCAACTAATTTGAAAGAAAAAAATAACAATGTAGATTAGTTACATAATCAATTAAATAATTCTTTTAAAATAAATACAATATATCTAATTTACATTGATTTTTTTAATATATAT